GTCCCTTATGGGATCCCTTAAAGAAAGCCTAGATATTCCTTAATTAAGGGATCATGGGAGTCTCTGTGTGGGCGTTGCCTGCTCCTGATCCCTAAGGCTCTCCGAGGAGTTTCCTGTCTCGCCGGCGAGAGTTGGGAGCAGCGTGACCTGGAGGGTTGTCGGGTTTAGGGTTTAAGCGTTTAGGCGTTTAGGGTTTAAGGGTTTAGGGGTTGAGGATTTAGGGTTTCTGGGTTGAGGGTTTTCGGGTTTAGGGGCGGAGGGTTTAGGGTTTAAGGGTTTAGGGGTTTAGGGTTCAAGGGTTGAGGGTTTTCGGGTTCAGGGTTGGTTTCGGGTTTAGGGTTCAGGCGTTTCGGGTTTAGGGTTTAATAAGGGTTTAGGGTTTAGGTTTAGGGTTCAGGGGTTGGGATGCTTGAAGGGTTCCTTGAAGCATGATACAGGGATTCATAATAGGTCTTTAGGTTTGAAAGGATCATGGATGCAAAAAATCAAGTACCTACACTCAGAACCACTAATAACCGTAATTGAGGCGCTTATATCCTTACCATGTCCCATGATCCCCCGCAAGTGGGCTGTAATGGATTCAGGGTTCAGGATTCAAGGTGTGGTGCATTCCTGGGTGAGAAACTCAGCGTTGACCAGTGGTAGCCAGCTCCGAGAGTTTTCCTTTTTCAGGACGCCGAACCCCATACCTTAGAAGCTGCCCCCACCCTGTAATAGTGGTATAATAGGAATATAGTAGGTCCCTAATATATTCCTTATAGTCACTATTACAGGGTGGGGGCAGCTTCTAACCCATACCTAAACTCGCTACGCCAGGTCGTAGCCCACATGCAGCGCATCAACACCGGGTTTTATCGGCTGGAAGGCACTCCTGGCCTTGGGGTTTAGGGCGGATTTAGAGGTTTAGCAGTTTAGGGTTTAGGGTTTGAGGTTTATGGGGCTCTTAATCACATGGATTGAAGGTTTGGGGCTTGGGGTTCAGGGTTTTAGAGTTCAGTGTTTTAGAGTTCAGGGTTTTAGAGTTCAGGGTTTATAACGTAAGGTTTAGGGTTTGTCCGTGGTAGAGCTCACTCCTGACTTCTGGTTTAGGGTTGGGGCTTGCAAAGGGCGTCACAGGAGGTCTCTCCAGGTTTGTTTGCACAGTGTGTCAAAGTTTCAGGTTCAGGAAGGGCTTGGGATTTAATCGGGGCGGGTCTGGGGTGTAGGGTTGGTTTCGGGTTGAGGGTTTAGTTGCCCAGAGGGTCCAAGTACCCAAATAGTAGCGTCTCAGGTACCAAAATCCATACTCTGAATGGCTTTTGGACCTTGGAACCCTACTATTTGGTTACTTGGACCATTAGGGTTGGGCTTGAGGTTCAAGTCTCCACTGCCGCCACTGCCCAGAGCTTGCCTCGGAGCATAGTTGCTGTGATACCCTTCCGTGGCCCAGCGAATTCCCAAACCTTTACATGACTTCCTCGCCTTCTTTGCCTTCTGTCTGGCAAACCTTATCCACTCCTTGTTTGAGTGAGGTTGTTGTTTTTGTATGCCATGAACTTTCGATCATATAAGACTAATATAAGAACCTCACGATGATCAGCGCTCTCTCAATCCACTTTCGGCAAAGTTGTGTGCACAGCATCACAAAGCCCAGGGCACATGTTGAAAAGTGGTGAAACTATGACAACACCCTTCAATACTTTGAACTCAACGTAGCTGAACATGCACGCAGAAACAACAGCAGCCAAGCGAGCAAGCCACAGTGCCGACCCCGTTGCCCACGCCAATGCTCTTGACGCGGGTCTACCCCCGGGAGCAGCCTCGCCGAGCAGGGCGTCCATGACTTACATGGGATCCAAAAGTGTGAAGCAAGGCAGCTAAGAGAAGGGCTGTGGCTGATGCAGATGCAAACGACGGAGTGGACGATGATATGCAGCAAGCGGCCGCTGCTCACCTCTGAACCTCGCCCAGGACTTCGGTCAAGTCGTTGAGTGCTGGCGCAGGACGTTATCCACCCAAAGTGTGCATATCAGAGCCGCCAAACCCTAACCCAGCCCTGGCCTTAAACCCTGAATCCCAGAACCCTCAAGCCCTAAACCCAAACCCTTTGACGCCTAGAGCCCTTAAGCCATAGAAACCCTACACCCCTAAACCCATGATCCCATAAGCCTTTACGCCGAAAAACCCTGAACCCAACGCCCCCTATATAAGCCCTTTTCAAATCTCCAAACCTAAAAAAACCCAAACCGTAAATCCTAAACCCTCAAAAGCAGCCCTAAACCCTAAACACCCAAAAGCCAACCCAAAAACCCCGTCAAACTTACCTTTGGTTAGTAGGGAATGGAAGAATGATAGTAATAGCACTTATTCTTGTACCCCATTCCTCCATTCCCTACTAACCAAAGGTAAGTCAAACGCCGCCAGAGGACAAGGCACCTTCGAGCTCTCTTTGGCCCGGAACAGCGAGAAGCTTTTCGTGAAGTTGGACGGCTCCTCACCTGGGACTTGAAACGGTTGATGATATAAATCCTGCATTACCTTAAGGACCCTAAACTATGGGAATCATGGTGTATTCCTTATTATGGGTCATGCAGGATTTATATCATCAACCGAAGGAAGGGTTCCTTTAAGGGTTCCTTATTAGGGTTTAGGTTTGAGGGTTTAGGGGTTTAGGGTTAAGGGAGTCTTCGAGGGATCTATCGGGTTCTACAAGGGATGTACTAAGGACCCTCACGTCAGGCGTTAATAGCATTTATGAACGTGTTTCACGATATTGTCCTAGCAAGCGGTGCATCTGAGGGGGTCATAGGAATAATCATTTGCCCTTAAGTTACTAGAATAGGCTTCTATAAGACGAGAAGGGTCCTAAGCGGGGGCTTATAGGGTGTTGGCATAAGGGGCCTGACCGCAACAACTCGAACAGGGTTTGGGGGTATATCACAGTTTATCTACTCAAAATACAGAGCTGACGGTTGATGATGTAAATCCTGCATGACCTTAAGGGCCCGAAACTATGGGAATTATGGTATATTCCTTATTATGGGTCATGCAGGATTTATATCATCAACCGTAAGCAACAATATTAGTAAGTGTTCAGGCCTTCTGGCCTGGGATTTAGGCCTCAAGCCGCGGTTCCTTTGAGGTGTTTCTCCGGTGGGAGTTTAGGGTTTCATGGTTTAGGTTCGCGTTTGAGCGGTTAGGGTGTAGGGTTCGAGGTTGAGGGCTTAGGATTCCTCAACTTAAGTTTGGCACTAAAAGTTTGAAACCGAAGAAATATCAGTTTTTTTTTATGCAGCCGCGATACATCTTCATTCTCATGTAGTCCCCCGTTAGAGGGGTTCCCATAAAGTAGCCATCAGTAGTATAAATTAAAGGATCTGTATATAGTTTCCATGCGGCACCGGCCAAGTGGAAAACATACTGTCGCTCTGTCTGAAAAGTAACCCTAAGACTCCAAGTATACAAATGGTACCTACTTTGGGGTCTAAAGTCTATAAATGCTACCTACTTTGGGCTATTTGGAGTCTTAGGGTAAACTATGGGGAGTAGCAGAACTAAAATTCATGGTTCCAGTTTCAAGGCTCGGAGTCTCCTGTGAAGTTCCCAATCAATTACATCTTTTTCGGCTTAAAGCACAGAGGCTCCAAATGCTAAACTCTAAACCCCTCAAACCTAAATCCCTCAAGGTTTAAAATCCCAAGCCCGAAGCCCCGAAATCCCAAACCTTCTGTAGCCATGCTCAAGCACTCCCGGAGAGGGCTCCTCGGATACAACTGGGGTCCTGCCAAGGAAGTTAGCTTAAGTTACTGTACTATAATAAGTAGGAAACCATATGGTTTACTAATGATCTCTATCAACCGAAGTTAACCTAAGTTAGCATCATAAGAGAACCATATTATTTACTCTCGATCCCTATTAGTTAAAAATCGATTCAGGTTCCGTACCCTAAGGGTCCAGGTATCTCTGGAGGGTCCGGAATGTCCTAGGCAGAGTCCTTGGGTCTCTTTGGGGTCTCAGAAACCCTCAATGTTGAGGTTCCCCCATTTGTTACGACCCTTAGGGTAGTATGGCAACTTAAGGGAATTCCGTAACAAGAACCCAGACAAGGTTGGAATCGTGGCGTTCGAGGCGAACTGACAAAGTTCCTTCAGTCCGTGAAGGCAGAAGCGCTCATCCGCGTTCAAAGGATTCGGATTTAGTCCCAGGGGTCCAAAAACCTAATAATTACTAGGATGCCCAGTAGTACCCTTATTCCCTTTTTGTAGTCCTAGGTTCCTTATAAAGTTACCCAATACCAAAAAGAGAGGCCTTTTTATTCTTAGGTTACTGGGTATCCTAGACTACATACTCTCCAAGATCCAAACCTACATAACTACTATCCTAAAACCGAATACATAATTATTGGGTCCTTTGGACCCTTGGAGTAAGTTTTCATAGTTTCGGGTTTTAGGGCCTGGGGCTTTTTTGGGAGTCCAGGTTTCAGCCTTTGGGATTCTTCAGAGAACTCGGATTCAAGGTTGCATGGTTTCGGGTTTTAGGGCTTCGAGCTTGGGGTTCCTGCGTTTGGGATTGAGGGTCTGGATTTTTTTAGGATGTCCTTAAGGGGGGGTGGTCCAAGGGGGTAGGTAACCTAGTAATCCCCATTATTCCCCAATACTCCCTAAGCTTCCCTAAGGTTCCCCAAAGCTCCCTAGTACCCTCCCCCCTTGAACCACCCCCCCTTAAGGATCCTATAATTTTTGGGATTCAGCGTGCGGAGTATACGGATACTCGGATGACTGCATGCTTATTTGCCCAGTCCCCTGTTGTCTTTGCCAGAGCAGACTCCGCAACCCACACCTTCATCCTAAATTTGCCGACCTATATCTCCACCTCCTGCATTTCCTGGTTCTTTTAAACCCTAAACGGCCCTAAACCCCCAGGCCCTAAACCCTAAACCCTGAATCTGTTTCGGGTGTACATCTCGGGAGAACCTCCTTAAACCCCTTAAGCCTCTTCTTGCGCAGGTGCCGGAAGCACCGATGGATCAGACACCTTCGGAGAGGACCGGCGGGACACTACGGTTTAGGGTTTATAAGGTTTCTAGGGCTTATAAGCTTTTTAGGGTTTATAAAGGTTTTTTCGCACCCCAATACAACCTACAAGTTCCGAGTGCAAGCCAAAAGCCGTGCTCCCTAAACCTAGGCTTGTACACCCTAAGCCCTCAGTCTAGAACCCAAACGCCGCAATACATTAACCGGAATTTAAGAGTTTCCGTTCGAAGTGTAGTATAGCATACCCCCAAAGCCGCATTCTCTTTGTCCTAAGTTTGAGTGTAGTATGGTATACCCTAAAACCCGCAGTCTAATCATCCCCCAGCCTTTCTTTTGGACCCGAATCCTGAATCTTCAACTCCAGTTCGCCGCTCAACCCTATAAGCCCTACTGCTGATGGACAAAATCCTGCATTACTCTTTATAAGGAATATACCATAGTTCCCACAGTTTAGAGTCCTTAGGGTCATGCAGGATTTCGTCCATCAACAGTAGGCCTTATATAAACCCTAAACCCTATATATGATCCCGGTTCTCGGTTCACCGACCCCCCCCCCAATGGTATCCCCCCCCCCCCCACGCTCCCCATGCCGAATCTGTGTGTGACTCTGCAAGTTTTCCACACGAGGGCTCACACGCCAAGCAGACCCACGCAGGAAACCCAAACCACACCACACCACAGGGGGGAGTGGGGTAACCAGCCTAAGCAGACCCACTCCCGAACCACACCACACCACACCACACCACAGGGAGGGGGAAGCAACCCACAACCACGCCACACCACAGCAGACCCACCCAAACCACACCACACCACAGGGGGGAGTGGGGTAACCAGCCTAAGCAGACCCACTCCCGAACCACACCACACCACACCACACCACAGGCAGAGGCAAGCAACCCACAACCACACCACACCACAGGGGGGGGAGGAGGAACCATTGGGGGGGGGAGGGGGGGGCGGCCGGCCGAACCGGGATCATATATCCCTAAGGGTCCATAGGACCCAATAAGAAGGTACTTGGGTTTAGGATAGTAGTTATGTAGGTTCCTATTTGGGAGAGTATATGATTATTCCGTACTTGGAACCTTGGGGTATGAGAACCCTAAACCCAAAAAAACCTGACCCCACAAGCCTTGGGTTCTCAGAACCCTAACACCATTAGCCCTGGATCAGAAAAAGCCCCAACCGCTTAGAGACTCCAACATCCCTTAACGAAGGAGTATACCATACTTTCTAGTAGGATCCCTAATAGGATTTAAAGTGTGTGTAGATATATATATATATATATATATATGTTCCTTCCTTAACGGATATTGGAGTCCCCTAAACTCTAAGCCCTACACATCCCTTATAGGAGCCCTTATAAGAACCCTCCAGAGGGATATCGAACAGCCCTACACAGCAGAACCCTAAGTTGCCTTGAGAAGGAGTCTGGTGCACAGCCGAGTCGCCTTCAATCCACAGGAGGGTTTAGGATTTAGGGTGTGGGGGCATCTAGTTGTCATTTGGGGTTTAGGTCAGATGTTAGGTGTGGCGTGTTTTCAGAGAGTTGGGGAGCAGTTTACAGCGTTGCTTGAGGACATTAAACCCTACCTATAGTCTCCATTGTAGTTCCTGTTCTTGGTTAATCAATTCTATGGTTAGGATCCTATAATAGAGTTTTTGGTTAACCAAACAAAGGAACTACAATGGAGACTATAGGTAAACCAGAAACCCTAAACTTTTCCTGACGGAATCAATTGTTTTTTTTGGGGGCCTGCACTTGCTGAGGGCTTATCCAGTAAAACCCAAACCGTGGCGTTTGGGCTTTGGTTTAGTGTGCAGAATGTAGGCCTTGAGGAACGGTTGATGTGATATTTTTGGGTTTGAGGGAAAATTTCGACTGCCAGGCTGTTCCAAGGCAAACAGGTGATGAACGAACTCCTGTAATGGATGTTCCGCTGGAAAAGGATCACTCTTATGATCCTTATCGACGAGGGAAAGGAGTTCGTTAATTGGGGAGACTGCCAGCCAGATTGACTATGTAGGGCGTGGCAGTTCAAGGTGGATCCAGAACACAAGCAAGAAACACGTCATAGCCCGGAAGCACTAATGCCACAAAGCTCCAATAAACTACATATGGGTGGTTGTCAAAATTATGGTCCCTTTTTGGGTCCCTAAAATAATACGGCACCTAATATTTAGGGTACCCAAAAAGGGACCCCTAATTTGGACAACTACCCATATGATGTATAAGCTGATTGGAGGAGCTTGGGGCTTCGATTCGGACAAGTTTAATGTTGTGTTTAGGGATTAAGGGCTGAGGTTTTGTTGACAAGCAGTTGGGCGTCTGGGCTTTGAATGTATGCTTGTTTTGTAGTAGAGTCGGCAACCTTAGCCATCCAGAATCAATTGGGGAGTTGTATTCCCGAAACAACCCCCAAGGTTAACATTTAGTTCCCCTAGGGTACTAGGCAAGCACGTTTTTGGTGGAGGGTTTAGGTTGCGAGGCTTCAACAGTCTTGTGTTGAACATACTTTGTGGGCTCAGGTTTCGGGTTGAGGGAGTAAGTGAAATTGAACATTTTTGAGTTTCCATAACCCTAACAAGCGGCAGAGGGTAGCCTTTTCGGACGTACCCTGAGGGTCCTAACAATTGGGGAACCTCAAAACTGAGGGTTTCTGAGACCTCAAGGAGACCCAAGGACTCTCCCTAGGACATTCCGGACCCTCCTAAGGCGCTAAGCCCTCAAGCCCTTTGTTTAAGGAAAGGCAGGTTATTTAGGGTCCGCGTAAGCCCTCAATTCCAAAAGTAGCCCCTGAAACCTGAACCCAGCTCTACCTCGGCAAGCTCCTCGCCGTCTCTGCTTGCAGCCTTTTGAAGCTTGATATCAGCAGCAAAAGCCAACACACCAAACCCTAAACCCTAAAGCTCTAAACCCTAAAAAAAAAAGCTCTAAACCCTAAAAAAAAAAAAGCTCTAAACCCTAAACCCCTAAACCCCAAACCCCTAACTCCTAAGCTCCTAAAGGCCCCGATAAGCCCAAAACCCTAGACCGAGCAACCCGAAAGCTTCAACAATCCGCCACAAGCATACAGCCTTGTAGTCCTAACTGCTAAGCACCCTAAACCCTAAATTAGGGTTTAGGGTTCAGGGAGCAAGCACAGTTAAGGCTTTACTGTTCAGGGTTATCATCGCTTAAGATTTTGACTGAAGTGTGTCGGTCGTGGACTCGGGCTTGCGGGAATTCCACCCCAAACCTAACCCTCACAACACTCCTACTTGGAGGGTCGCGGGACTTAGTAAGTAGGTAAGAAGTAGAGCTATAAGTAATTATCCTAAAAGGGACCCTTATTGGGGTTATGGTACTTAGAACTCTGCAAAAATAACTACTTAGTAAGTCCCCGACCCTCCAAGTAGACCCTAAGCCTTCCAAACTCGAAGTCCTTAGCCGAAGAAATTGGAAACGTTCCCAAGGCTGAACATGACAATGAAGTCCGAAGTACGGTTGAATGATGTAAGGTTTCGGGGTTTGGGGTTGAGGTTGGGTTTTATGTTCACAGAAGCAGGCGGCCCATAGCTTTCATAACTTTCAGTGAATTTACTAGGACCGAATCCCTGCCATGGCGTTGCATGGTCGGGCGTGGCTACTGCTTCTGTGCCAGAGCAGCTTGGCACCATGTGGGGAGACCCGAGGCAAAAAAATAGTCAAAACCTTACAAAATTACATGGTGCTTTCACGAAGCCTCAAATCCTAAACCCTAAACCCACCGTCAATGCCAGAACTAGTGAGATCCCAAGGAGCCCACGGCTCCTGCACTATGACAGGGTTTAGGGGTTCAGGGTTACCATAATAGTAGGTACTTAGTAGGTATGTGGGCCCCAAAACTGAAACTGTACTACTACTTGGACCCTTCGGGTGAATACCCTTCATGGGATAATCCGTAGCACCGGTGCTGCAGGATTTAGTCCATCACCCTAACGGTCCGTGTGCCCAGATGGTATATACTTAGGCCCCAAAGTACCTATATAGGGTTTACTTTAAGGCCAAAGTATGTACTCTTTCGGCACATGAACCCTTACACCCTAAACCCTAAAGCCCCTTGTAGAACCCTCATGGGACCCCTTAAAGGATGATTGAACAAAGCCTTACTCTTTGGGCGCATGGACCCTTAGGGTAGCGCGATCACAGCAGAGGTCAGACATTTTAGGGCTTCTGAGTTTCTATTCAGGGTTCAGGGTTTCGGGTTCAGGGTTTAGGGTTAGAGTTTAGGGTTCAGGGTTTTGGGTGCAGGGTTTAGGGGCCAATCGAGTGCGAGTTCCGTTTGGGGGTAGCTGCGATGCCCTTAGGCCCCAGAGCCTACATACTGAACCCAAAGCTTCAAATCTGAAACCCTATACGAGAGCGGGCCATCCTTTACCTTAGACTCTAAATGAGAAAGCCTATGCCTAAACCCTAAACCCTAAACCCTAAACCCTAAACCCCTAACCCCTGAGCCACTGAATCCCGAACAAAACAGCAACAGCTCGCACAGTGATGGGGTCTCTGCCTTGAAGCTGAAGGACGGGAGAAAGGGTATATAGCCGGGTTTAGGGTTTAGGGTTTAGGGTTTAGGGTATTATATAGCCTCATTCTGAGGGGAGAAGGCGTAATGAAGAGGCCTTGACAATTAGAATAGGGTTTTGGGGCCCACTAAAACATGAATATAACAAGGAACCAGCAAAATAAAATAGGCAATTATTAAGCCCCTTAGATTATGGGAAGAATAGAAATATGTATGAAAGACACTCTTGTGAGGGCAATACGAATGATGGAGAGCATCTTGCACCCGGGTTCCAAATTGCCTGTAGTTGGTATTTCCTCTTGCTGTCATCGATGCGTGTTTTGAGCAAGGACTACACGACCGAAAACGCCCATCGAACATCACCCACAGAATCTTCAATTCAACCTTTTTAGGAACTTTCGGCTATACTTTGCAGGCTGCTACATCAGCGCCAGCCAGGCTACTTTGTCTGCACTGGTCTTATGCAAAACCTCACCTGCTAAATCTAGTGATCGTCCAAGTGCACCCGAAAAAGCGAGCCAAAATATGGTTATGAAAATATAGACGCTTAGTACCAAAATCAATCCTCAGGGTTCATTAACCGAGTTCTGTATCAGATTGATGCAATTATGTACCCCTATAATATACCACCCAAGCCCTGTTCTAATCATCACGGCCTCTATATTGCCCACTGAAACACCAAAGCCCTAAGCCACAACGTGGGTGTCGAGTTTCGGTGGTTAGGGCATAAGGCACCTTAGCAATTCTTGCTTTCTTTGACAGATTCGGTAATACAGCTGCCCTTCCTACCTAGGCCTTCCTGCTTACAACTCTGATGACTCTGATGTATGGGTTTAGGTCCCGTGCGAAGCAAACCTCATAAACCGAACCCATGGATGTTGAACTTGAGGGCCTAGGTATAGAGGCGTGATGAACGGATCTACACGTTTTTTCAGGTATAGCGATGCCCTCTTGCAGATATTTCGAGCATCTGGATTCCAGAGCCCTCGGGTAGGGAGAGATGGCACAGCAAATGGAGCTGCGGCTTGGCGCGAGGGTCGGTGAAGGCCTCGCGACGCAAGTAATGTGAGTACTATAGCGGCCTCAATAAATACCTATACCACTTTTGGGGTTCCTTATTACAACTATAATATAACATATCCCCAAGCCCTGGTCGAATTATTAAGGCCCCTATGTTACTGTATTCTGCTTGCCACGCACTTGCGTGGCTGCGGTGGGCCTTTGGGCGGCACCTCCGGAGTCCATGGTCCAAACGCTGCGACGACTATCCCTACGGGTCCATGTACCCAAATAGTAAATGCTTTGGCCTTAAAGTACTCCCTATATAGGTACATTGGTGGCATTGCCTTTTGGTCGCCGCTATGCATCAATTTCGCTCTGCCCCCATGAACCGGCCAGTCAATTCAGGACTCGACCCCAGTGAAGAAGTTTAGAGGGATTGTATCTACGGGGTGTAGAGTTTCAAGATGTTCAACCTTTAACTAGGATGCCCAGTAGTAGCCTTGTTCCCTTTTTGTAGCCTTAAGTTCCGTATAAAGTTACCTAATACCAGAAAGGGAGCCCGTTTTATTCCTAGGTTACTGGACATCCTAGTTAACATGTTTATGCATGGATTTTCGTAGCTCTGAGCCCTGGACCTTGAACGGACCCTCAAAAAGCCACAAGCCTACGTTTTCGAACCTTGCATTTCGAACGACATCACCGCCCCTTAGTGGTCCTGTAGACCCCTGACTAACAACCCGCCCTCTTTGTAATTGCCGTTGGGCCCCTCTCGACAGGGTGTGTCTTAGTAAACAGGGGCCGATATGAAGCCCTTTCAAGACCTTGTTAAAACCCATACAGGCCATGACAAAGGAAGACAGACAGTGCAAACCACCCTGTGACCGCAAGCCGATTGCAGCATCTATTACGTCATAATGA